TTTTATTGACGGAGGGAGGAGGGGGGGCTTGGTATTCTAGACAGTTCTAATAGAAGCGGAGAAAGGAAGTGAGAAGCGAGAGGCTTGGGATCCGGAGAGAGGCCAGGATCTTTCTAGACTATTATTTATTTACATGTTATTCTATTACTATTATTATTATTATGGATTATGGATGGACGAATGGATGGACGGATGGACGAATGGATGGGGTTTACTATTTTAGGTTTTTAAAGAAAAGGAGCATCTAAGCGGAGTGCACGTGGAATAGAGGTTTGGGGGCCTCCTATTAATTAGAAATTTTCAAAATAAAACTAATTATAACTTTCATCCAGAAGATCGATCCATTTTAAAATTTATTGCAGTAATCGGCCTATTTTCTGGTCACAACAGCATTGTGGCTAAAACATGGGTCATTTTAAAGAAACCGAATTGCTAATTAGTCGGGGTTGGCAACCCGGCTAATTAGTTGCTCTGCCGATTGTTTAGAAGCTCTGGTAATTACACTTGTGATTCACAGAGCTAAAAAAGGTCGGGGTTGTGAACCACGACCAAATTGGTCGGTGTTGTCAACCCCGACCATTTTGGTCGGGGTTTACAATCATGTTCATTATGTAAAAACACGCTAGCCCATCCCTCGTCTCATGGAGATAGAAATGGTCGGGGTTCCCAACCCCGACCATTTAGCAGAGACCTCACAGCACACAGACTTGCTGGAAATATCCTCTCTTGCTACACATATATCAATCCTCGACTAAAATTATTAGATTTAACACAAACTCTCCTGCTACACATATAGCAATCCATAATCAATTTCAATCACAAATAAAAACATATTTTTATATCTATATTACATCTATAACCAATTTTCAAACACAAACAAACATGTAATTCACTTACTAAAAATCCAATCATAAATATGTAGTCCAACTAGCATTTCAAACGTAAACATCATAAAATAAGCAATATTGAAATTTAGCAAATATTTAGAAGTCACTTTCCTCTCGCTCTCCCTCTTGTTCTTCCTCTTCTTCCTTTCCCTCTTCCCCGTTCACCTTCAACATGAGCTTGGATGATCTCATTGTTCGGTTGTGTGTGAACTTGTGAGCACGTGACATCCTTGTCGACTTGATCCTACTGTGAGCACCCAGCTTGAGTCTGCTGTGAACATCGACTTATTCATGTGCACGATTTGAGCCCGCCCCGGTGTGTCCTTAGATCCGTCGACGCTCATACCCTTTGAGTCGTTCTTGACGTCCATCATGATTTATGTGACACATCTTTTTAAAAGCCGACCAAATATTTCCTATGATGCGAACAAATGCTTTCCTCGCCCCTGGCTCGGTAGTCAATCTCAATGCATCATGTGCAATAGAAGCAACCTCATCGAGTTCTTATACCTATAAGATAAAAATCGAAAAAAATATTAGTAATTGGATGATAACAAAAATAATAATCACAAAAATAATTGTATATTTTTTCTATCTACTTACCAGCTCTCTCTCAATTGGACCTCGAGGTATGTACTCCTTAAGTACTTTGTACTCCCAAAATATCCATCGGCGAGTAATCCTCCAATACCAACGTAAGTACACATCTAGTTCCTGTGTGTCAGCTCTCTCCATCACTACAGAATCCTCACTTCATATTAGGAGCTTGACCTAATAATCGTTCACACGCTTCTATCCAATTGAAGTCATCGGTACTCGTAGCAACATCTCCACCACTTTGAGGCCAAATAAAACCCCTACATTCTGCAGAGTAATAGTTGACTCTCCTTGATACATGTGGAATATATTTGTCTCGGGCCTCCATTGTTCAAACAATGTCGTCAAAAGAGACCAATTGAGTCTTACCCATTTTATTTGTGAACATTCAAAAAAACCTTGCTTGACAAACATAATACTAGACCTATGGATTCATCAAATTCCAACTCGAATATGCATGAGTATGATCAACAATAGTAATACTCGGGGCTGCATATATTAAAAAATTTAAATGATCATGTAATAGTAATAAGATTGAAAATTTAAAATAATTGAAATAATAAAAACTTTTACCTCCCCTGAGTTTATCTTCGTGGATCAGCGTCGATCTTGGTCATATAGGATCTCATATGTCAATGGTCATGCATGCATATTATAAATATATGCACATATAAAGTAAAATATGTCAGTATTATTATATATGATAAATTGAACTAGAGGTGAGTTATAGAATATGTGAATATGCATTGAATTACAAACCACATAGAATAAAATTCTAAAATAAATAAATTGTACCCATTAATAGCTATTTATTCGGATTATCGAACAATGAGATCTATTATGGACCAGTTGTTTGCAATATCCACACCTATTTTACTTTGAAACCCCTTCCTATCCATCATCCATCGTACCTCTTATGCATACTGATTGTTGTTTGTGGAAAAATTTGCAGTAAAAGAAACGAAGGAAAATTGATTTGTATTCCTTTAATCTCAGTTATAATTGGATTTCCTGATTACAAAAGAGAGGAGAATGAATTTGATTCTCTCCTTTGTTTAATTCTGGGTTCTTCACGGTGGCGATGGAGTGCCTCCCTCGAATGCTCGCGTCGAGTTTGCTCTCCGTTGACGATCCGAACGTCTTGATTCACTGGAACGTGGTCTTCTCCTCACGATTTGACGTTGTGGAGAACTTGCAAAGCAAGTTTTAGAACTCTTGATGGGTTGATTGATCTTAACCGTAATTGGTTAGACAAGCCAAGGATCTCTTCTATGCTGCCCAAGAGCAGGATGCGAACTAAGCTGATTTCTTAGTTATTTATAGGGGATTAAGGGGTGTAACCGCCCTCCTTAATTTGCTCTTATGTGGGGCTAATGGGATGTAACCGCCCCTTAAATCACTCCTGAGTGGAGTTATGATCCCCTCAGATCGTGGGAAACAGTTTTGAAACTGTTCAGCTCGTGTTTGAACGAGTCAAACGCAAAATCCGCATTCTGGCATGAATTCTGCGTTCAAACGCAGTGTCTGAAAGCTCAGACGCAGCAATTTGGAAGCTGCGTTGGCAGCGTTAGAAGCTGCTCGTGAGCTGCGTTTGCAGTAATTTGGAAGCTGTGTTGGCAGCGTTAGAAGCTGTGTTGGCAGCAATTTGGAAGCTGCGTTGGCAGCGTTGGAAGCTGCGTTGGCAGCGTTGGAAGCTGGATCTGAGCTGCGTCCGTGGCTGTGAACGCGGTGCGTCTTGATGCTGGTATACGGGGAGGACTTCCGCGTCTTAGTTTGAAGAGATCGTCGATTTGTAGTCTCTTTCTGTCAGAACGTTGCAAAGATCGTCATTTTATAATCTCTGTAACTCCCGATGTTGATTGTGAAGGCTGTTGATTAGAGCTTTCATCAGTTGTTGTGAAGATCGTCAGATTGTAACCTTCATCGATTTACGTGAAAGTCTTCAAATTGTAGTATTCTGGAAGCCATCGAATTATAACTTCCATCATCGGAGTTTGATGGGGATCAGCTATCTGCAGTGATTTTTAGACAGCCTACAGAATCCCCTCCAAAGTTTTTGAAAGTTCGCGGTTGAATGGGACTAATTTTCAAAATACTTTGGATCTCAACTCTGATCTTGGAGCTGTTGATTCCTTGTCAGAAAAGAGTTGTTCTTTGCACCCGCTTCAAAGGCATCTTGGTTGAAGGGATTTTCCACGCATGACCTGTGTGATGATGAGCTTCAAATAGAAACTATAGCAACGGTACAAGCTACTCATGAGCAAAAGCTATCAAACGTCACGTCACAGCTCACCTCCATTCAGCTGATGGGCCCGCAAACATTCATAGGATTTTTGGCAAACCCTCAGCCATCAACGGATTTGATAAGCCTTTACCGACTACCGTTTGAGTCGGGCTAGCACATGGATTGTCTAAGTCCGTTCCACATGTAACGTTGTGCTAAGAGAATAAACCCTCTTAGACTTGATGCTATGATTTTGAATACATAGACTTTGTCACTTTCACGAGAAAAGACTAACCGGCGACGCGTGTTAGGCGTAGGCTTATCTCTAATTAGGGATCGAGATAAAGTCCCCCATACATAAAAGGCATGGATTTTGGTGCTACGATGTTGAATACATAGACTTTGTTGTTATTTCTTTCTATGTTACTTGAAACACTGAAAGAAAGTTAGAAGCGCCAGAGGTGTAATATTAACTTGACATGAATTTTTACTTAGAGTGAAATTTAAAAATTTTCTTTATTATAACTAGGATAATTCCAGAAAATATTTAATCCGTTGAGGATTTTATAATGACAACTTGCTATTTTTGTTAAAAAGGATTAACAAGTTCATTGGGGGGTTTGACTGTTAGAGGTGTGATGTTAACCTAACAATATTTTATGGACCTATCGTCCTATTGAAGAGAGTCGATAAGTTGATTGGTCGTCAGAGGTGTGATGTTAACTTGACGGGTTTGTGGACCTATCGCTCTATTGAAGATAGTCGATAAGTTAATTGTCAGAGGTTTGATATTAACATGACGGGAATTTGTGTTATGATTGGAGCAACTTGTGGACTTATCATCCTATTGAAGAGGATTGATAAGTGAATTGTCAGAGGTTTGATATTAACATGACGGGAATTTGTTACGATCGGAGCAACTTTATGGACTTATCATCCTATTGAAGAAGATTGAGGGAATTTGTTACGATCGGAGCAACTTTATGGACTTATCATCCTATTGAAGAAGATTGATAAGTGAATTGTCAGAGGTTTGATATTAACATGACGGGAATTTGTTGCGATCGGAGCAACTTTGTGGACTTATCATCCTATTGACGAGGATTGATAAGTGGATTGTCAGAGGTATGATGTTAACGTGATGGGAATTTGTATTGCGATTGGAGCAACTTTATGGACTTATCATCCTATTAAAGAGGATTGATAAGTAAATTGTCAGAGGTTTAGTGTTAACGTGACAGAATTTGTGTTGCGATTGGAGCAACTTTGTGGAC